CATTGAAGGGAAAAACTGTTTGGGGTCATGGTGGTGAGTTGAGCACAAAAATCTCTAATTCTCTAGGGTATGTGCAGCAATTATTTTATGGTTGTGGGACCGTACAACCTCTGTGTTGGATCAGTAAAGTTCAGAGTTGTATTGCACAAGCTCCCCTTAACATTCCCAGACTGATTTTTCTTCCGAAAATGCTTTTTTTCCCCTGAGACACACATCCATTAATATGTGTTTCTGTGTGCAATCTTTGGGACCAGAAAAATGCTGTTTATGGTTTTTGTATAATATTGATGTCTTTTTATGGTGTTATAGAAAAGAGGACTTGATTAATTGCTCTGCTTTTTAGTCAAACTGATTGTTTCTTTGTTCTATTTAACTCCTTTTAGCTCTTAATGTTGAAGGTTTTTCCCCCTTAAATATGTATTTGTGATGCAGGATACCTACTGTTCTTTCCAGAGGTTCAGAAAATGTCTTGTTTAAACGTCCACCTGTATCTCGTCCTTTGTCATCTCAGGAGGGGATCTCTGATCTAACAATTGATGCTCCCAGTAAAGGAATGAGCTCATCTATTGGAAATCCTGATGGTATGTATACTGTTGCACTTAATTAAGTTAATGAATTGGAATCTTGGAGATCTGTTTGAGTGGCTATGGTTTCCATGTTTGCTAATATTCTCTTTTGGCCTAAAACATAGTATAAGCTTTTTATTAATCTTTCCTGGAATTTGGTTGGATGTTTAGGAGTTGTGCATGGGTAGAACAAGCAATTACAAGTGTTGTTCTTTTGGGTTGGTGAGAATACTTTGGCAATTGTGTTCCTGGGTGCCCTTTAATACTAAATTTTTTTTTTTTTTTTAAACACGAATTGACTTTTATGCCTCTCAAAGCACAACTTTTGACCATCAATATCATAAATTACTTATAAGTATCACTAAAATTTAAATATAGTTGACATTTTGAAACTATGCATTGAGACCAATTGAACAAAAGCTCACATGACTCCGATTGTCCTTGCTTGTAAACCACAAAAGAAAGTAAAAGGAGAGTGTGTGAATAGTGTAAAATTACAAGGTGTGTAAACTAATAAAATGGGTAATTATTTTAATGAAATGTGTGGGTGCCAACTGGATTAATTGGTAAAAAAAGATTAATTGGTAAAAAGCTTTGGGGGATGGTACTCATATCTTTGATTGATTATGATACACCAAAATCAAACTTTTAAAAGGAATGTTAGTGGGTACGTAGTAATTATATGCTGTATCCATTCACATCATTCTTTGGAGGACATAGCAGATATGTTCGAATAAATATCAGAGTACTTGTCTGTTTTCTTCCTCTCTAGTGAAGACAGTTAATTACTCTAGCTACAAACCAGAGCTTGATCAATACCCTGCTGATCATTTTATAATCCTGAGGATACATGTTCAGGTTATAGATGTTTATATTGAAGACACTGCATGGAGGATCTCTGTGATTTTCTTTTTCTTAGTGTTAGTTTATACTGGGATGCTGATACATAGACATTTTAGGTGGAAGACGGGAAAACGCAGCTGCACAAGCTCCTGATACCTCTATCAAGAAGGATATGCGTTTCAGACGAACTAATTCTTGTAGCGACTCTGATGTTTCAGAGACATCATTCATAGACATGTTAAAGAGTAATGCTAAGAAGCCGCCTCAGCCTGATTCTCATGTGACAGGTGCCTCAGAATTGGCTGATGCGCAGGGTAAGAGTGGGAAGAAGAAAGGGAAAAAAGGAAGGCAGATTGATCCAGCACTTCTAGGCTTTAAGGTTACTAGCAACCGTATCATGATGGGCGAGATTCAAAGGATAGATGATTAGCTTTTTTTTTTTTTATGTATTCATTGCTGTACCTAATTTTTTTTTCTTTAGGTCTTGTAAGAGGTGTACAGTTTTTTTTGTAAAGCCCTTTTCCCTCTTATTGGGAATTCATTGATTTTCAGGCCAATTACCCTGTTTTACCTGTTCATGGAAGGGTTGATAGAAGAGCTGATGTAATGTTTAGGCAGCTTATGTATCCCGTGTAGTGTTCTTGTACATACTGAGCTGAGCTTTTTAAATGAATAGCAGTTGCAGAAAGAAAGTTTATCAATTAGAAATCTTGGTTTTGGGATTCATGCATCCTCATCTGTCATCTCCCATCGTCTAAGGGTGTTCAAAACTACCTGTCCCTTTTGATCTGGCCTGCTGACCCGATTCAATTAGTCGGGTACTTGAGCAAGTTCTGAAAAATACTTATCATGTCAATTGGTATGTGTTCGTTATTTCACTACTAGAAATTTGTTGATATCGGGTCATGGGCTGGCATTCGGGTACCTGAATCCTTGTGATTTTTTTTTCTGTTTCAAACTTTCAATTGTGTGCGATTCTTTAAGTGGGAATTGCATTTATACACGGAAAACTTTTGTATACACCCGGTTTTCAGTAATTTACTAAACATTGGGTTCACTTTTGTCAGATTTAGTGTCACTTTTGTCAAATTTAGTGTCATTTTTGTCAAATTTATCAATGAAGCATAAATAACTTTTATATATGTCAGGGTAACTTTTGTGCGTTTTAGTGTAACTTTTGCACATTTTATTGTCACTTTATAACGGATGTTTAGTAATTTACTGAACATCCGTTTTATTTAAAAGTTTGTCTTTATACACATACCTCTAATGTTCATCAGCCGAATAATTAAATTCAAGTGTTTAATAATGATATCAATGGAAATTTCCTATTGATTTTTTTTTTGACGGGACCTATTGATTATTAAAAATATCGTTCACATTAACACGTGTGCCGATCAAACCGAGTTACATAAATAAAAACTCGACAATGGAAATTTCCGGATTGACTCAACTCAACTAATCCTTGTGTAGGATGACTTCAACATATATAGACTAGATTGCACAATTGCACCATTATGAATGAACAAAATTAAAATCTGGCATCAACAAAATAAAATTGAGGCCCTTTATAGTTTACCTTTACGAGCTTTGCAGTAAAATAAACTAAGGTACTAATACCATATATTATACCGATGAAATGTGTCAAATTACATCAATGTAACGCACCTAAAATCATTAGAAGATAAGCCCTAAACAACACTTGTTCATTTTTGACATAACGAAACTAACAATGTCCCTCTAAAACAATAAAAAGATATATAACTTAGTTCTAATACTCTACCTCAAATTTTTGTAGATGAGTGTGAAAATAAGAGCTAACGCTAAAGAAACGAAGGAAGCAAAGAAGAAGATCCCCCAATCCTTGTCAACCCCAACTTCCGACTCGAAGATGATCGTAAAGATGACTTTGTCAATCGTTAGGAAGACGTAGAGCCACCAAAATCTCCAGAACTCCATGATCGAGAATGAGAGTAATAGCAGTGATTAGAGTGTTGGAGAAAAAGAGATGAGAGCAAAATGAAAGGGAAGGGAGTTGTATTTCACTGAATGAATAATAACATCATTACAATGTTGGGCTAAATAAATAGCTCTCGTAATTACAACTCCGCAAATTAGTTACTCCGTACAAAATTATTCCCTCATACATTCCCTTTGCCCACTGCCCAAAATAACCAACTAAAGACGTCAACAAAAGAAATACAGTACAGTAGTCCATAAAATAAAATAATAATAATAAAAAAATTAAGGGTACTTTCTTTCATAAAAATGTTAAACTTTGACCGGTGTATAATTTTGGATAACTTAATTAATTTACATCTTTATTGTATAAGTAAAGGGAGAAGAAAGACTAAATATTGGTGTCCAATTTAAAGATAACCCAAATAACCCTTTTATGGAGTACTTTATGTTATTATTAATTTTTTTAATAGGGATAATAATTTTTTTTTGGTGCAAAAATAGGGATAATAATTAATACTTCCTCCATTATTTTCACTTGACCTGTTTCTTTTATCATCATTTTCAAAGTAAAATTTTAATGATTAATCACTATTTTTTTAAGCAACGATTAATCACTTAAATTTTTAACAAGTAAAAACTATAAAAGTCATATTATTATAGTACTTATTGAGACAAATTTAAAAAGATCCCACATAATATGTTTTTTCTTACGTATTATTCATAAAAGAAAGTTAAAAAAAAAGGATGGTAAATAATGTAAGAGTTAAAGCGGGTGAAGTAAAAAAAAGAAAAAAGTATTAGTTAAACAAAGACCCAAAAGCATAATACTTCGTACCCACCTATTATACAGAATACAAAGTAAAGCCAAGTTTCAAATAGAATTTACAAATCTCTTAATAAGTACTCGTAATTAATATCCCTTTAATTGAGCCTTTTCCAAATGCACATACAATAATTGTATGTGTAGCCTTTGTGTTAAAAATGCATGAATTTCCAAATGCACATCTTTATATATCATCAAATTCAAGCATCAAATTAACAAATGTTTTTTTTTTTAATTTTTTTTTTCTTTTTTGTTTTAAAAAAATATATTTTTTTGAGCCTTTTGGACCCAAAAATCCCTTCCAAATAGTTCCTAAGTTTTATACAAGGATCAAACAACTCCTTTAGCTCCAAAAAGCTCCTAATTAAACACCCCTATAGCTTTTTAGTTGTTTATATTCTATGTGTTTCTTAATAATTGCAATACTTTGACTAACACACATGCAAATACTCATATTTGACCAATAATTTTATAATTATGTGTAATTAAAAAGTATATAAGGTTAATATAATGAAAACATACATAAAAACTAATCTAAAAATATTTTACATGACTTTTTTTTTTTTTTTTTTTTATAATATTGGTAAAAAGTATAGTCAAAATAAACATATGAATAGTGTAAAGATCAAACTGTTGTGATTATGATGAAACGGAAGAAGTACTTTAAAAACAACTAATGACTATTTACCTAACACTTTTATATGGATAGTTAATTATGAATTTATGATTAGCTAGTTAAAAACTTAAAACAACCAATGTAGCTAAATGCCAAATATGACCTTTAGCTTTTTGGTTATTTTATACACTAAAAGAACTTTAACTAGTAACTACTAAACACTTTTAAACAAACATTTAATTACAATCAACTAAACACTAAAAGAGCTTTATGGTTATTTACTAAACACTTTTACACAAACATTTAATTACAATCAACTAGTCAAAATAGTCTGATGCAAACAACTAATAAATTGTCACAACAAATAGGACTTGAGGAATTGCTTTGGAAAAATCACAATTACTGGAGTGTTACACAAGTACCAAACAAGGCCAATGGCCAATGAATCGACATTGTTTCTTTGTATCCTCAACTAGAAGGCTAGCACACAAAAACTCAAGCTTTCTTATAATTTTCTTGTATCTTTTTTATCAAGTACTCCTCCAAAGCAGCTCCCGCCTCAATTATCTTTGTATGAGGTTTTATATCAACCTCAATCACCTCATCCAACAATCCATCCAATCTTTCCATCTCCTCTGCCTGAGCAATTCGCGGTATGACTTCTTGCCAAGTACCAATATATGGTGCTTCACCATGTTTAAGAAGCTCTCCAAGCACCTCAAAAGCTTCTTCTATCCTACCCACATTACACAAACCTTTAATCAAAGAATGTGTGATTGAAAAATGTGGAGAACAACCTTTCGAGATCATTTCCTCCAAGTACTTCTTAGCTTCATCATACATCCCTTGATCAACCAAACCACCTACCAATGTTCGATAGGACACCAAATTTGGCAAACATCCATTCGAATACATATCATCCAAAATCTTGATGGCCTCTTGTGCACGCCCCTCTCTACACAAACCCAACATAACCGTGTTGTAATGTGTTATATTTGGATTACACCCTTTAACTTTCATCCTACATAACAACTTATAAGCCTCCTTAAGCTTCTTCTTCCTACACAAACTATTCAACAAACTAGTATAGCTCAAAGTATCAGGCATGAAACCCTTGTTGAGCATATCATCCAACAAATCCATAGCTTTAGTCACTTGACTCTTCCTACACAATGCCTGCATCAAAATCCTATATGATTCAACATCAGGCAAAACTTCTCTCTTAAGCATTTCATTGAACAGCTTATACGCAACACTTAATTCATCATTACCACAAAATGCCTTCATCAAAATGTTGTAAGATTTCACATTTGGGGTCACTTCATACTTACTTGCAATCCTAAAAAGATCAAAAGCAGGCCTAAGAAAATTCCTTTGTGATACAAGAATAGCAAGAACATGATTTAGGTGTTTCGAGGTCGGCTTACAATCATACTCTACGATGCTATAGAACATCTTAAGGGCCTTTTCAGGCATCTGGGCATCGCCATAAATGCAAATTAAGCTCGAAAATAAACCTGGGGTAGTGGGATAACGAAGGCGTTTGAGCTCAAGAAGAAGCTTTTCCATGAGAGAGAATTGGCGGGCATTTCCTAATTTGAGAATTAGAGTGTGACAAGTGGAGTAAGAATGACGAAAATTGGGTTGACGAGAAGCTAAATCGAAGATTTCTTTGGCTAAAAGAGGGTCTGATTGAGAGGAAATTAGCTTTTGGACTCGATTTGGGGAAGCAATTAGGGTTCTTGAGAATAATTGTATGGCATTTTGGGTTTCTGGGTTGTTTCTTATTTGTTTCTGTTGTTGTGATGATTGTTGTTTTTGTGGATTGATTGAAGAAGAAGAGTAGAAGAAGAGATTACTGAGAAGAGAGAGATTACCAGTGTTGCGTAAAACAGAGTTGCATGATGATTGCAGAGTAGAACGATGCATTTTTTTGGGGAGCTTAATTTTAGTTTCTGTTGCTGGGCGATCTACTAGTCATTCATAAATCATAATGCTATATTGTGTTTGTTTTCGGGACAATTACGGGTGGTTTGAGGGACCGTCACGGGTGGTTTATTTGGTACATAAACGCGTAGTAGATGTAGATTAAAAACCTTGGATTGTCCGGGTTAAATTAGGATATGGGTACTTCTTTGTAGCCTTTTTCGGAGAGAAAATTAAAATAAGTTCATTTTAAGTATAATCTTATAACAAGTTTCAATAAGGTCCAAGACGTTAAAGATAGTGAAAAGATAAATGAAATGATTCGAACTCAATATTATCTTTAATAGTTTGAGTGTCAAATGATCAAAACACTTTTTTTTTTTTTTTTTTTTTTTTTTTAATGTGTTCATTTGACATTGAACTAGCAAAACTCAAAATAAAATAAATTGGCTCTTAGCTCTTTTTTTTTTACAATTTTGCTCCATTTAATTCATTTTGTGAGTTTGGATTGTTGGAATTCAATAAAAATAGTTCGACTATTAAACAGGCAGAACTCGAAATCAATTGAATTTATCTCAAAAAATCCATTGAATATGGCTCATGATATACAAAGTACTCCCATCATAATTAATTTTTTACACGCTTATATTCAATCCTTGAGAGTCTAAACATTTCGCATAATTTCAAGAATAGAATAGCAAATCCTAACAGTGCTAATTGAAAACACTACTAAAGAGCAGAGTAAAAGCAACAATAATATCAAGCTGAGCTTGATCTTGAACTTCAAACCTAGCATTCAGGGATTTTAAGCCCTCTGTAGCTCCAAGAAAACGTATAGACACCTTGATTAAGCTTTAGGAAGAAATCCAATGGCCTGGGAATAGCTTCATGATTGTTCCACCCATTATCCAATTCAACTCCGAAGCTATCACGTTTGTTTGCTTAGCAATTAGAGTCACGGCTTCTCTTGCTTCTTTGTAACCACATTCGGAAACCACAAATGGAAAATCACTGCAATAGATAAATTGTTACTGAAACTTAGACTGCTTTGCTAGTTTCTAACCACATCCATTTATCTAGCATGATCAGAAACAGATTATACCTGCCCCACATAATTCTATTAGCACCAAAGCTCGAGATGATTTGAGAGAATGGAGAAGACAAGTCCTGGTATGGAAATGCCTCTCTCGAAATTCTGAACAAGGCACTGAATTTTACATGAACCTGATAATTTGACAAATTTCAGACTGAATAGTCAAACAAATGATTATGAAATGAAAATATGATATGTTTATCACTCCATACATTACAACAATCAGAACAAACTTTCATTAAAATCACTAGAATGTCAGCAGAGAAAATCAGAAAAAGAGCAATTTCTGTAGTGGTCAACTAGCAGAATAGCAGATGATGGTTGAGTTTGTGTAATTGTATGCTTCTTGGTCTAGAATGAAATGCAAGTGTTGTGGTAACAGTTAAACTAGGTTAACCTCGTATGCTTTTGTCCAAGTGTCAGACTTGGTATTATATAAATAATTCAATATTCTTGGTCTAGAATAAAGCGCAAGTTTCCATATGATGAGCAAGATTGCATATACAATATCTATATTTAATTATTAGGGTATGATGGGTACTTAAGGTGAAATGAAGAGTTTAAGTAACATAGCAACAGACCTAGGCTATATGAATTGCTTAAGAAGACATATAACTGATATGAGAAAAAAATTTCATATACAACTACCCCAGTTTCACCTGTGGAAATTGAGATAACTTCAACAGATTAGAGAAGGCCAAACTTTCATCGTCATTACTGCAATACAAACACAAGAAATCCAGGTTTTAGCAAGCCAAAAAAAGTGGAAGCTACTTGTGAAGAAATTTACCGACAACACTACGTTGGTGGCTTGCAGAAACCCATATGATCGATTAGCACAGTAGTTGTGGGGTATTCTGTACACAATTCCTCAATCTCAGAAAAATGCAGATTTAGACCCTGATAGTTCAACATTGAGTAAATATATGTCACAAATTTTAAATAAGTTCATTTCTTGCTGTTCCAAATAAAGACAACTATGTCCACAAATATGTGAAGTAGCATGAGGATGATGACTATAAGGGAGAAAAAGGGGGAAAGGGCATCAAAAGTCGAGCATTGTCAGTTGTAAGACCTTCATACACATGAAGCCTACTGGTACGCCAAGCTCTCCAGCCTTTGAAAACAGAGCCTTTCCTATCTTGTTTGTCATCTGCAGAAGTCAGCAATTAAAACATCTCATATCATGATTCATATAACATAGACATTACTAAGTACTACATAGTAGTAAAAGAGTTAAACTGTTAAGGACTTCAGTACATGAAAAAACATCAGAGATAATGATATGATAAGCTGAGAAGATGGGTACCTTCTCACCAGATGGCCATAGATATGGATTGAAACGAACTGCACAATAACCATCCTGACAAGGAAACAGCATTTTGTAAACAGGGATAACCGGACAACTAAAAGTTTAAACCACGGTACATCACTATCAGATCATCAGATAGATCAGTCACCTTGGAAACAAGATCCTCGAGTTGTCTAATCCCACTTCCATCATCTGCAGGATTTGCAAGGCAACATCCAGCAAATTTGGTGGGGTATTTCTTCAATATACTGAACAGAAGTAAGTAAAACACCAGTCAATGTGAAGAAAATGAAAATAAAGTAATAACATAAGTTAGTAAGACAAGTTTGGTACTTTGGTTGAAGTAACAAGATTAAGCTGCATATACAAAAGTTTTCTAATCCTCAGTATTTTCATAATTTCACTCATTTTAGGACTTTGTTATGCCAACTTACTAATTAGTAATTACTATGCAGCATCAATGAATGCCCGAATTTGCAATTCTAGGCTTCAACTTTTAATCCGATCAACCTAAGCATGATGTTGAATATCTAAATAGTTTTACACAGACCTTGTAACATAGGAATGGTCAAATTTGTGGTTAATTGGCTGCACAATTAAAGCACCATCTACAACTGCTTCATCCATACACTGTCAAAACCAAAGTATAAAATTAGTCACCATTTCATCTAAACAAACAACTAAAAAAAGAAAAAGGGGTATGCAACAACTCTTGCTTAACAATTTAAAGAAGCTAAATTTTAGCGAAGGCATGAAATTGAATAGACAGTCTCATACAAGAATTTGCTTCCCACAATTTTACCAAAATCTCAGTACTTTCATAATCTACATTCATCGCAAATGATAAGCTATGATCAAAATATTGCGTGGATGTCAACTAGCTTAGTTGGTTATAATATTCGAGGTGGTACCAAAACCCGAAATTGAATTGATTAGAACATCACAAGCATTCACTGATTGAAGATTTGATGTACATAACCTGGGAATCGTACCTCAAGCAAGAATTGAGCATGTCCAGGTAAGGTGGGTTCTTGGCCTGGGAAATAAGGGTATTTCTCTGCAGCCTTTTTCAGTAAAGAAATTATATACAATTTAAAAAAAAAAAAAAAAAAGAAAGAAACATTAAAATTAAACCCTTGAAATTATCTGAAAAATAAAGAAGAAAATTCAGGACATAAAAAAAAAAAAAAAAAAAAAAAAAAAAAAAAAAAAAAAAAAAGAGATTGACCTCTTGTGGAGAAGCCCAAACATGGAGGTGGGAATCAATGATTTTAGGAACATGAGCAACAGAGGACATTTTGGCTGCAAATACTTGAAAATGAGAAGAATTGGGAAGTGAGTGAGGTTTTAGTTTTGAGGTGAGGCCAATTTAGTTTGTTGCTGAGTTGATTAAAATACAAGGTTGCAGTCTCAATGCCATTGTTAAGTGTTTGGAGTAATTGATATTGCTGGTCGTCGTTAAAATTGATGGTAGGGTCGTTGATAAGGCCCACAAGGGCATGTAAACTTGTAAAGTGACCAATAGGCCCCAAATTTTATACTCCGTTCTATGTAGTCACTCCGTGTTTTAATATGTATTATCGTTTGACTTTTTTTTACTATTCACATAATGATTTTGACTTGATGAATTAATCGTGTCTTGACATGCGTATATAGCCAAGATGTAACACTTATTAAAACACGAAGGGAGTACTATTCGTTTTGTGTTAAAGGGCGTTCAAAATGTTTAGAATAACATATTGTAATCCTGCTCTACTTACTATTTTACTAATGCATAGGAATTCTATTAGGAGTGACTCCCGAAAATTATAGTGATTATTTTCTCTCCTCTTCTCTGGTGTAGGTTAACAGGCCATAGAAGATTACATCTTAGCTTGATTTAGGAATCATTTCATTTTTAGAGAGACAAGACGTGAGTTAAAGGCTTAAAGCCTCACAGACTGTAACATTTTTGTACGCCCGTTTTGGTTTTCCACCAGGCCTATTTTTTGTACTCATTTTCCATCATTTTATCGATACAAATTCGCTTATGTAAGTAAATTCGTATCAATAAAATCAAATCTTTTTTAGTAAAAAAAAAAAAAAAAAAAAAAAAAAAAAAAAAAAAAAAAAAAAAAAAAAAAGTGTATTGAACAAGGCAACAGACATTAGCTAAAACTTAATTATCGGAAATTCGGAATATTCTTATTAAATCACCCTCTCATTCCAAGGATATTTTTCAGAAGGAACAAACTATTTTAGTCCTCAACATTCAACATTGTCATTAACTCATTACCATAAGTCCATAAATCCATAGTACCATTACACCCGTACCAAATCTCTCTCTTCTTCGTCACTGTTTACTCGCACTGTCTAAAACCCATTTTCATACCTCGAGCTTCATCCATCAATGGCGGCTTCTTTCGCAATCCAAGTACAAACCCTAGAAATTTCTTACTCTTCTTTCCGATGATTGATTTAAATTTCTCACTGCTTGATCCTTGAATTTTTTTTCCAGGCAAATGTTACTTCTATCTCCGGCAAAAGAGACCTAGCTCCGATTAATTCCGTCGTTCGGAGTTCTCTCAAACTCTCAAGAATTTCTCTGTCGTCTTCTAATTCCATCGGTCACGTGTCCCTCACATGTTCTTCTCCTCCTTCTCTTCGCCGGAAACCTGGTTCTCTTACCACTGTTCGAGCTTCTGCTGAGGTGAGCTACTTCTTAATATTGTTTTGTCGTAATGTTCTTCTTCAATTGATGAATTTCTTGAGAGTTTGTTGAATTTGTGTAGGTTAAATTATGATTGTTTTAGTGTTTCGCATCATCAAGAATTAATAGTCACATATACTATTTTGTGATGTTTGTAACAAAAATTGTTGCTTCGCGTTTTTGATAATCAATACATTCATCGGTTGCAATGGAGTCTCCTGAAAATTAGAGTATCAAAATGTTTGTAACAATTTTTCTAATAATGTAATTTAAATTGAAATGAATTCTTACTATTTGCAGTGGAAGAGGTAATGTTTGATGATTGATTTCCCAATAATTTCCCTACGTTGATTTGAAAA